CTGACAAGCAGCTGTGCAGTCTGACGTATTGTGGTCTGTCAGTGAGGTAGTCAGTGATCCAGGCCACGAGGTCCTGATCCACCTGCATCACAGAGAGTATTATTTATTTGTAGTTTGGCATTTTGACCACTCTCTTGCCTGTGCACTAAATATGAATCCAGCAGCCGATTAACTTAGCTTGTCTTCGCAAAAGCCTCACAGTGACCTCAAGATTCCAGGGGCTCGCCCTTCCCTCCTTAAAACCTTAGCCGAGGACTTTGAAATTGATGCACAAAAAGCATAAATTGCTGCATAAAAATGCCTCAGAATGCAGGTAAAGAACTAGACCCCCCTGTCACCCCCCGCTTGATTTGTGTCTCCTAGGTATGGGGCTGTTGGCAAGGTGTTATTTTTCCACATTGAACTTGGTAGCAACAATAATGGAGTCAGTTGTGTCAATTTTTGTTTGACTTGTAGAAACACGTCTCTTTCAGAGAATATCCCACTTTTAGACAAATTCACATGCTCATGCACACCCAGAGGTGATTAGCTGATAATTGACTGGTGTGAATGCTCTGTTCTCCGGCTGATGATAATGGTTTTTATAGATCATCTCTTCAGGCCATTTTGGGATCCATACTTTCCCTCCTTTATATTCTGTTTGTCTTTGATTGGTGGTTTTGTGTTCCTTCCCTACTTCTTTTCAAAGAAGAGGCATGGAACGGTTTGTTGCTGTGTCCTTGACTGAGCTCTTACGCATGGTGGACCCGCATACTGAATAGTCTTTCTATAGTCGGTATAGTATTGACTGGTGATGAAGTTGACACAGATTTTTTAAATAAATAGAGCCAACAATGAACAATTAACCCATAGATTTGTAAATAGAAACCTAGCAGGAAACATTTTGATTATTTAATTGTAGGCAGTTATATACCATTGTATATTGAATATCTTTGAGTTTAAGACATCGCCTTTGGTTTTAAGAAACTTTAAGGGGCATTTTTTAAATTATTTTACAGTAATAATGATTATGGATTCATCTAAAATATAAATCTGTGGTGTTTATTAGGATATAGTTTATGAAGTATTTTATTTGGTTATATACAAGAAATGAATCTACGGTACCATGTACTAACAGAAAATACAATGGTGTACGGTGTCTGCCTACTAAGATGTAGGTCTACACTATGTTTATTTAGTCCTACAAAAAGTATTTATTCAGTTTATTATCACGTAATACAAAGATAAGCAGAAAATCCTTACAATTTAGGTGTTGTAACCAGCTAATTTTGGACATGTAGTTTTTGAAACATTACTTAAACAATTACTCCATTATCAAAGTAGTTGTTGATTAATTAACTCACTAAGAGATTAATAGACTAATTGTTACAGCTCCATTGTATGGAAATGAGACAGAGGCTAGGTCTCTTTCTAAGTCTAGATTTAGGACAGAGGACATAGTATTAATGATAATAATCATCATCATGTCTACTATCAGTTGCAGTATTAAGTTTTGTATTTTAATAACCCATAAATGAAAAATGTGATGGAAGTTTGAGAGATCCCTGGTTAGAGATCAGCAATCCTTAAATTATTTGCAGATGGAGTTGCAGGTTTATTTGTCATCCTAATGCTAAGTAGCCTACCATCAGCGTGCGTAAAAGCCAAAACAAATACTATCAATCCTGCTAACCTTTCACAGTGACTTATAGGACTTGCTCATGCGTGTCTATCTGCTGAAAACTCTGCCCCCTGGGTCGCCGTGGGGTGTGGAGAACAACCAGTAGGTCGTCCTTACTGTTCAAACTGCGGAGTGATGGGCTTCCAACAGGGACTCTGCGAGCCAAAGCAAAGAGACCTGAAGTGAATTTTAATCTCACATGCACTCAGTTACTAAACTGGCAGATCTGGTGCTGCCTGGGAGTGGAGGCTCAGCACAAGATGATGAATGACCATCAACTATTCTTGTCTGACTGTGTCTCTGTCTTGTGTTCCCCCTTTAGCTCACACAATATAATGTTACTTTTTCATGCTATTGTTTCACGTGCGGATGCATACCTTTTCTCGCTATCTCTCGGACACACACGCACGCACAAAGGGAATGTGTGGAATGTCACAAACTGGCGCAGCAGTGCTTCTGCTGCAGTATTTTGCATTTCAGATTAATGATTGCTGTTGCTGTTTCCTCCTGAGAGGCTGTAATCCTGATTTGAAAGAGCCATATGTTTGTTCAGTCCCTTTCACGGCAGACATCTTGTTTTCTGGTAGTTGTAACTTGTCCTTTTCTTTTCTCTCTTTAGAGATTTGCCTGTGAGAGGAAGATATGAAGTTTGCGGGCTACCTTTGGATCTTTTGGTTTCTCCTGGTGGTAAGCTTTCATTTTTAAATTCAAGGAATGCTGTAAGGTAAACTAACTCCATTATATTGTTTGCCCATTTTGTATGCTGTACGTGTGTTTAAACATAGAATTCTGTTTTCATTAAATGGACATGTGATATGCTATGGTCTAGTGGTTTTCTTTTCTCAGCAAAAAAATCTCATAATTAAATTTCACTTACCATTTATACTTCATAATTATTATTTATAATTAGCTGAGTTTGTTCATTACAAACTTGAGCAATCTTAAAGCAAAGATAGTGATCCATAACTGTTTCACTATATGTGATCTTTACACGTATGCACATGGTGCACAATCTAGGATCTCTTCTTTTCACCTGTATTTAAACTTGGCACGGTTATAAACACTAAATACCTATAATACCTCATTGTATATTTGTGGGTCTAACTTTGCATTGTAGTGGACAAGGACCAGGCTTCCTGGGACTGTCTTTCAAAGTCTGTGCATCTGTAGAACAACATTAGCAGTGTTTCTCTTTTATAATATTGCAACATAAAATACCCATGACTTCAACTCATCATTGGGGTATCATCAAAACACGACAAACCATGCAAACCTGAAATTGTATGTGCATCAATGCCCTCTGTGTCTATGCTGTACCAGAACAGTGTCACAAAATGCTCCACACTAGCGAACAACAGAACAGCATTGCAAGCTGCCCTCCAAGGCAGCCCTGCAACACACTTGACAAATGTCTCTATATTTCTCTTAGTTGTGCATAAAAACAAATACAATTTTAGTTCTAAAATGCAAAAAATATCAAAACATTCACTTTACAGTAGTTCAAAGTAAGTTAACGTCACATATAGCGAAGAAAAAATTTACCTTGCCAAGAAAAAGTCCAAAATGAAAAGAAGTAAAAGCGTGCAAAACATACAATTAGAAAAATAAAACAAGAACTTAACTTCCTCTCTGATTTAAAAAAAGTGTAGAAACTCTGCATTAGAGCGTATTTACTCCAATAAAAATATATTCAAAACAGAAATTTAACAAGTGCACAAGAGTTCATCTGTACCCTTCAAAAGAGAAGTATCTGCCTAATCAACATCAAATCTTACAGGTACATATTATGACCTGTGCACATATACACCCCTGCCATATATTTAAGCATAAAGCATATGTATGTCTGTATTTCCCAACTTTATAGTCAGACTGTTGGGGGTGTTGGAGTGAAGTATCTGATTTCAAATAAATTACATCAATTAGTTCAATGTTTTACATGATTAGGCTATCTCATGTATCATGTAGGGATGACACATTTGTGCACTGTGTTCAAATATACTGATTTGCCTGATGAGGGTGTTTTATCAGACAAATCAAACTCTGAAATATCCTTTTCATGAACTTGCGGCTACAAATTACAGTACACCAGTTGGCTGAATGAGGGTTTTATGATGAGTGGTATTTTCAACTCTATGGCTCTTAATTTTGGAGAGCGCCGAGACAATATTCATCTTGTTAGCAACAAACACAGGGGGAAATGTTCACATTGGGATTTTTTAAAAGCTTTTACTGCAGAAAAATAGATCTATTTTATGAGTCATCTCGTCTTATGAAAAAAACAACAACATTTGGTCCACTATTCTTCAGTGTCAGTGTGAAATGGAGGTTTACTGTTTCAATTTCCTTTGCTGTCCAATGTCAAGCTTGACATTAAGGTCCTGGATAGTATCCCTGCCAAATGTTTAATGCCTCATGTATCTATGTTACTCTGCTTTATGTTTCTCCACTTTCTTTTTAGACTGTTCTTGTCATGTTGATTCAGGAAGATTAATGAATTGTAATGGGTGAAGAAAGCCCTTGAAAAAGAAATGTTTTTCTTGTTCAGCTCATCAGTTGATATTGGTGGTGGCCTGGTGGTCGTATGTATGACGTCATTTACTTCAATGTTTGGAGTGACATCATATGTACGGCTGCTAAACTGCTACATGGGACATCAGCATTCTCACAGAAGATGATTTTTTTTCTTAAATGTCTTGCCTTTTGCAAGCTTTTATCAGACAGGTAAGAATGGTGTTTTAATGTTCCTAATGAGAATTCCTTCTGCCCTTCACAAAGAAACAGAGGTAGGAGGTTTGCATCTGAATTGTGATATGGAGTGTGTAGACAATCTCCCAGACGAAGTATTAAAAAGTCCTGAAATAATTCAGAAAATGCAAGTGCATGAGCCTGGCACTCCAAGAGGCTTAATTTTCAGCCAAAAATTTGCGAGATAAGTCACAGCAAATGGGCTCTTTATCCTTCAGTGAGCAGCATTATCAAAATCAGCATTTCACACAGGCAGGCTTTTTTTCATTTTAAATGCTACCTCCAAATACAAACACTAGAGCAGAGATAAGATTCATATGGAGAAAATCTGCTGCTTAACTTCTTTTGTGAGCTCCCAAACACACTTTAATAAGTTACATGAATAGTCGGTGACTAGAATTTCAAAGCAGAGTGAAATCCTCATCAGATCAGCTTTAAAAATGTTTCAAAAAACGTTCCATGCTTATTCTACCATTTAAATTTGTATCTTATGTAAGAGTGTGTGTCTTCATCTAAGCTTGATAAAACTGTAAAATATGATAAATTTAGCAAACATCATCATCATTTATGCTTTATCTTATGTTTTTATTCAATGCAATGTAGATCAGATATTAATAACTCTCTGTCTACACTCCATATTGTGTTCCAAGTCCGTATAAAACATGTTGTCTTCCCCCTCACCTCTGGCGTCGTGTTTTCTCCACAGCGCAGGACTGTGGTAGGCGCTGAGTCAATCTCAGACCCATCACACAGTCCTGGAAAGAGCCTGACAGAGGGAGAGGCGGTGAGCCAGGGTCAATACAGATGTCTTGAGCTGTCCAACAAAGACCATCAAGAAAACAGAGCCGGTGAGAAGCCCAAATCATTTCAAGGCTTCTTAAAGGACCAGTGTGTAGGATTGCATCTAACGGTGTAGTTGCAGATTGCAACTCCCTCGCTTCATGCCCCCTTTTCTCCCAGCTTCAGTGTTCCTATCAAATAAAGTAAAAAAAAATATTTTAAAAAGAAAGGAAGAAACATGGCGGTTCAACATTGCAGCCTTCATGGAAGGTGATCTGTGGCGTCGGTAGATAAAAACACTCTCAATAAAATATAAGAATCACAAAAAAATTGTGATTCTTATTTTAAGGTGATTATACACTAATAAAAATATATCTATGCATATTATATTCCATTTCTGCCAATAGATCCTCCTAAATGTTACACACTACACTTATAAGGCCAAATAAATTATCTCTGGAGGAGCATTACGGATGTAATGATGTTGTGGAAGACAGTGGATTGGGATCAGAACACTGTTGTTCTTGTTCAAGAAAGTGGTTGTGTTGCCAGCACTGCAACTGACCTGAAAGGGCTTTTGGAGTAGAGGCTGTGGGGTTACAGTATAAACACTTTTAAGGGTGTAGAGAAATTATGTTATTCTGACGTACATTTACAACATAAAACTGAAGACACAACTGTGTGCTGGTAATAACCCAGAACAATCATTACACTTTTTTTCTTTCCCTTTTCTGGAGGTACGTTATGTGCACGTATTTGGGATGGCTTGCTATGCTGGGATGACACACCAGCTGGGACGTCTGTAACACAAAACTGTCCAGATCACCCTGACCTGGACGCAACTGGTAAGAATTGTGCAATTCTCACACCAATCCACAACAAAACGTTCACTGAATCGGAAGCGGTGGGAAATTGAGAGGGTTTTCTGCATAACTTTTTAATTCCAGGTCAGCAGGCAACACAGACAGCGATCCAATCTTGTGTTTGATGAATGTAAAAGGTCATGGGGGTGATTGTATGAATGAGTTTCAGGAAGCTTGGAGGGTTTTATTTAATATTTCCCGTGTTTCGATCAGATTTTATCAAATGATTACATGAGCCAGTCAGGGGAAAGTAGGTTCATTATTAGGCTGTGTTTTGAACTTGTTTCAACTCATTATACAAAAACTGCAGATATTCTG